ATGTACAATAAGGCAAATGTAAGCATGAGACAAGGTAAGAACTGTAGCGAGTAGACTGGGAGGTAAATTTGTCAAAGTTGATTCATTAGTGTACAACATCGCTTCAAAACCTTGGGGGCTTGCTTGCCATTGACTGGTTGAACACCTGGGTCGCTGGTCGGGTGGCATGCCTAGGTGGAGGTGTGACGAACGTTCAATAAAATGTAATGTACTCTTTGCATGCCACAATGGTTGTGGCAAGCTCTAGCTCAAGTCCCTTCAAAATCGTTATGAATCACCCGTGAATTCCACGGATAGCTCCCTGGAGTTGTACATCAGTTCCTAGATAGTTACAGGTGTTTGTACTAACTCAAGTTAGAAAAGTTGTGTTGAGGAAGATCTCAAACGAGCGTGTTATTATTATTATTATTATTATTATTATTATTATTATTATTATTATTATTATTATTATTATTATTATCCCACCGTTCGTTGCCCTACCACTGAACAGCGACATTTCAAAGCTTATTTTAGGAACGTCCAACCCAATCTGAGGTAGACTGCCATCCACAACAAACGATTATGACCCAGATACTTATTTACTGCTAGGTGAAGACGAGCAGCAGGTGAAAGTAAGCTTGCCTTTAAGCCTTGCCTTGTTCGGAAATCGATTACAAGTACATTAGGCTGTGAGCCAAACACTCCACAGAATCTGTGTAGGAGACGTCTACTCTGACACAGTCTGTGTAGGAGATGAGTAATTTGACAGTTTGTGTAGAAGACTGCTCAGTTACAGTCTGTATAGGAAACGCCTTCTCTGATAGTCTGTTATAGGAGACGACTAATCTAATACAGTGTAGGAGACGACTAACTGACAAGTCTGTTAGAGGTGTTAATTACTCTGACAATATCGGTTTAGGAGATGACTACTCTAATATTGTGTATGTAGAAAGCTAATCTGACACATTCTTGTAGGAGACGATTAATCCGACACCTTTAAAAATTGCAACACATCGCCAGGTGAACGAACGAAGAATACACCTTCCACACTGCGGCACAACACCAGGAGAACGAGAAATTGACACACCATTCACATTGCCATATATGACCTAGAGAACAGGTGACGACACAGCCTTCACACTGAAACACTTCACCAGCTGAACTCTCAACCAGGTGGCAGAGCAACCAACACACACTAAAACTGCCACACATTGTCGGGCATAACGAGCGATCAACACACTCTCCACATTGCCACACAGATATACCCTCCATACTGCCACTGAATGACCGACCGACATACCTTCCAAACTGCTACACATCACCACGTGAACGAGCATTAAATACACCCTCTGTACTGCCACACATCACCAGGTGACCGAGCGTCACACACACCCTCTGTACTACCACACATCACCAGGTGAATGAGCGTCACACACACCCACTGTACTACCACACATCACCAGATGAACGAGCGTCACACACACCCTCTGTACTACTACACATCACCAGGTGAACGAGCGTCACACACACCCTCTGTACTACCACACATCACCAGGTGGACGAGCGTCACACACCCTCTATACTACCACACATCACCAGGTGAACGAGCGTCACGCACACCCTCTGTACTACCACACATCACCAGGTGAACGAACGTCACACACGCCCTCTATACTGCCACACATCACCTGGTGAACGAGCGTCACACACACACCCTCTATACTGCCACACATCACCTGGTGAACGAACGTCACACACACCTCTATACCGCCACACATCACCTGGTGAACGAGAGTCACACACACCCTATATACACACCCTCTATACTGCCACACATCAACAGGTTAGCGAGCGTCACATATACCCTCTATACTGCCACACATCACCTGGTGAACGAGAGTCACACGCACCCTCTATATCCACAATCACTGGTGAACGTGGAGTCACACACACCCTCTATACTGCCACACATCACCTGGTGAACGAGAGTCACACACACCCTCTATACTGCCACACATCACCTGGTGAACGAGAGTCACACACACCCTCTATACTGCCACACATCACCTGGTGAACGAGCGTCACACACCCTCTATACTGCCACACATCACCTGGTGAACGAGCGTCCAAAATACTTAATTTCAAGCTACTAAGTATGCTAATTTATGGAGTTTAAATTTTTATTCACATATTTCTTTACTGTGGACTAAATAACCCAAGAACATAAGAAGAACATAATAAAGAATGAACACTGCCGCAGGCCTACTGGCCCTAGCTCCAGCTGGAACATGAATTAATAGTTCAAATGCTATATTTATGTTGTAGTAAACTTAGTTCAAGACTTTTCCCAGTTTGACAATAATAAACTTTATCATATTTTTTACTAGTAAACTTGTAGTCACAGCCATCAGCATTTTTTGGGGGGAATTTTTAACTAGAAGTTTTTTTTTACTGTATCGAGATTTTTAAATACATCTTTGGTTTTAAAATTCTTAAGTATAGAAGGTTTGAATTAGATTGTTTGTCCTTTTTTTTTGACTTGTAAAATGTATTTCTAGCAATTAAGTATTTTGAGTATTTTAGATCATTAGCTATTTAACATATCTTCAAGATTTCTTCATCTATGAACTCTGAGCTGCAAACTCTCAAAGCTTTCAAAGATATGAATGATAATACAGAAAATTTAACTCTATTTTGATGGGAAGTATAACAGTACATGTAAGAACAGTTATTTGTTGGTTTTCTGTGCATTTTAAATTCAAAATCATGGGTCCTCTTAATAATTAAGACATCCAAAAAAGGCAGCGAGACTAATTTAACAAGGAAATGGTTTATATATATATTCTTAGGCATAAGACACAAAACATCAACATATCTGTACAACTTAGTCTGAAAGATTTCTGTAAAAATGTTATAATGATTATTACAACATAAATATAGCGTTACAACAACATAAATATAGCATTACAACAACATAAATATAGCATTACAACAACATAAATATAGCGTTACAACAACATAAATATAGCGTTACAACAACATAAATATAGCGTTACAACAGCATAAATATAGCGTTACAACAGCATAAATATAGCGTACAAAACATAAAATATAGCGTTACAACATAAATATAGCGTTACAACAACATAAATATAGCGTTACAACAACATAAATATAGCGTTACAACATAAATATAGCGTTACAACAACATAAATATAGCGTTACAACAACATAAATATAGCGTTACAACAACATAAATATAGCGTTACAACTGGAAAAGAGTCTAATGAGAGAGATTTTAACCATCCAACTGATTTTCAAAAGGCCAAAAAAGTTGCATCAAGTAGGTTTGTTGTTGAGAAAATAACTGAATCTAACTTTATGAAAAATACGTTTGATTTTAATATGAATATTAGTTTAGTGTTAAAAAATTAAATAAATTTGCAATGAATACAATTTTGGGAAGAATTTAGGCTATTTTTGACAATTTCTGGACGATCCTATCCGCGTGTTAGGTGGTGTCTCAACCTTAATACTCATCTGCTGTTCTATTTTTTTTACAGGTCCTTGATAATGTGAGAAATCCCGAAAGCGCTTCGAATTTCATTATTTTTCAACAATGGTTTCTATTGCACACACACACACACGTTGCCAGTGGTGAGAGAAGCAACTCTCACTGCTGAGGTCCAGGGAATAAACCCCGGACTTTAATACAAAATAAGTAGTAGGTTGGTAGACAGCAACCACCCAGGGAGGTACTACCATCCTGCCAAGTGAGTGTAAAACGAAAGCCTGTAATTGTTTTACATGATGGTAGGATTGCTGGTGTCTTTTGTCTGTCTCATAAATATGCAAGATTACAGGCACGTCTTGTTACGTCTACTTACACTTAGGTCACACAGCACATACATGTACACGTTTGTGTTTACACACTCATCTGAGTTTTCTTTGATTTTATATTAATAGTTCTTGTTCTTATTACTTTTCCATGGAGATATGAAAGGAAAACTGTTGTAAAAGTCAACTAAAATGCCCGGAACAACAGGCTAGTAACCCTTTTTCCTGTATAGCTTACTTAAAAGAAAAAGAAGAAACCCGTCAAAGTGGGATGTTTGAATGTACGTGGATGTTGTGCGAATGACAAGAAAGAGAAGATTGTGGATCTTATGAATGAGAAAAATCTGGATGTTCTGGCTCTAGGTGTAACAAAGAAGAAGGGGGTAGAAGAGTTTCAGTGGGGTGAAATAAATGGGGTTAGGTCAAGGATTTCTAATAGAGTTGAAGCTAAGAAAGGAGTAGCAATAATGTTGAAGGATAAGTGATGATAGGAGAAGAGGGGATATAAATACATAAATTCAAGGATTATGTGGAGCAAAATAATGGGATGGATGTGAAAAATGGGTTATAGTTATTGTTTATGCATCTGGAGAAGAGAGAGGTGTAGAGGAGAGAGAAAGATTTTGGGAAATGTTGAGTGAGTGTGTGGGGAGTTTTGAACCAAGTGTGAGAGTACTTATGGTTGGAGATTTCAATGCTAAAGTGGGTAAAAATGTTGTGGAGGGAGTAGTAGGTAAATCTGGGGTGCCAGGGGTAAATGTAAATGGGGAGCCTTTAATTGAGCTATGTGTAGAAAGAGGTTTGGTAATAAGTAATACATATTTTATGAAGAAGAGGACAAATAAGTATACAAATATGATATAGCACGTAATGGAAGTATTTTGTTAGATTATGTATTGGTGGATAAAAGGTTGATGGGTAGGCTTCAGGATGTGCATGTTTATAGAGGGGCAAGTAAGAGAGAGGTGAAAGTTTATAAACTAAGGGAGGAGGAAGTTAGGGTGAGATATAAGCAACTATTGGCAGAAAGGTGGGGGTGCAAGTATGAGTAGTGGGGGGGGGGATGAAGAGGGTTGGAATAGTTTTAAAAATGTAGTATTAGAGTGTGGGACAGAAGTTTGTGGTTTTAGGAGGGTGGGTGCAGGAGGAAAGACGAGTGATTGGTGGAATGATGAGGTAAAGGGTGTGATAAAAGAGAAAAAGATAGCTTATGAGAGGTTTTCATAAAGCAGAAGTGATATAAGAAGGGCAGATTATATGGAGAGTAAAAGAAAGGTGAAGAGAGTGGTGAGAGAGTGCAAAAGGAGAGCGGATGATAGAGTGGGAGAGGCACTGTCAAGAAATTTTGATGAGAATAAGAAAAAAAATTGGAGTGAGATAAACAGGTTAAGAAAGCCTAGGGAATGAATGAATTTGTCAGTTAAAAACAAAGTCAGGGAGTTAGTAGATCGGGAGCTAGAGGTGTTGCATAGATGGTGGGAATATTTTGAGGATCTTTTAAATGTTGATGAAGAATGTAAGTAATTTCATGAACTTTCAAGGGAGGTATAACATGTTTTAGGAATGAAGAAGAGCAGGATGTGAGTGTGGGGGAGGTACGTGAGGTATTATGTAGAATGAAAGGGGGTAAAGCAGTTGGAACTGACGGGATCATGACAGAAATATTAAAAACTGGGGGGGGGGGATATAGTGTTGGAGTGGTTGGTACTTTTTTTTTTTTTTTCATAAAAATGTATTACTTATTACCAAATCTCTTTACACATAGCTAAATTTAAAGGCTCCCCATTTACATTTACCCTGGCACCCCAAATTTACCTACTACTCCCTCCACAACATTTTTACCCCACTTTAGCATTGAAATCCCCAACCACAAGTACTTCACACTTGGTTCATAAACTCCCCACGTATTCACTCAACATTTCCAAAATCTCTCTCTCTCTCCTCTACACTTCTCTCTTCTCCAGGTGCATATACACTTACTATAACCCATTTTTTCACATCCATTCCTTTATTTTACTCCACATAATCCTTGAATTAATACATTTATAGTCCCTCTTTTCCTGCCATATTTTTATCCTTCAGCATTATTGCTACTCCCTTCTTTAGCTCTAACTCTATTTGAAACCTCTGACCTAATCCCCATTTATTCCTCTCCACTGAAACTCTCCCACCCCCTTCAGCTTTGTTTCACTTAAAGCCAGGACATCCAGCTTCTTCTCATTCATAACATCCACAATCATCTCTTTCTTATCATCTGCACAACATCCACACACATTCAGACTTCCCACTTTGACAATTTTCTTCTTCTTATTCTTTTTAGTAATCTTTACAGGAAAAGGGGTTACTAGCCCATTGTTCCCGGCATTTTTAGTTGACTTTTACAACACGCATGGCTTACGGAGGAAAGATTCTTATTCCACTTCCCCATGGATATAAAAGGAAAAGTAATAAGACCAAGAACTATTAAGATAAAATCAACGAAAACTCAGATGGGTGTGAATAAATAAACGTGTACATGTATGTGTAGTGTGACCTAAGGTAAGTAGAAGTAGAAAGGGACGTACCTGTAATCTTGCATATTTTATGAGGACAGAGAAAAGACACAGCAATCCAAACCATCATGTAAAACAATTACAGGCTTTTGTTTTACATTCACTTGGCAGGACGGTAGTACCTCCCTGGGTGGTTGCTGTAAAACTGTAAAACTATATATATGACTATATATCATTGTTCTTTCCACCCACAGGGCCGTCGTCCAGTAGCCCCCCTGGGATAGACTGGAGTCAGTGGTGGACTTATGGTGGTATCTCCGGGCCACGGTTCTGGGGGGTGATCAACCCAGCGTGGGGTATGTGCAGAGAAGGTCGTCGCCAGTCACCCATAAACATAGACCCCAAGACGCTTTTGTTCGACCCCAACCTCTCTCCCTTCACCCTCGACAAGGTCACGGTGAGTCGTAGATGGCCTACTGCATGGTGTTATCTGGGTCCTAGGAAGTTCTATGAAGAACTCCTACATTTATCTAAAGATACAAGTTATGGGTAGCTTCTTACTGCATACCGCAGTGTCTGATTCTAAATATTTCATGTATGTCGAAATTATCAGCAAAGTTCTGTATTTAGCTGGTAGCACACATAAACAAAGCAATATTCTCTTATCTTATGATAGAGTGGAAAATTTAGTTTTTTAAAACGATATTAAGACAGCTCAAGTTCAGGTCCTTGTCCTTGAGCCTTCACTTTCTTAAATGAGGAAGGAAAAATATGAAGGAAATTAAAACAATATAGGTCAGATGAGGAAATTAAGCTTTTAATAAAATCTCTAATAAAAATTTTTGATTGATAAACAGAAATATAAAAGTAGGTTTAAAAACTCTAAGTTTCGTGTATCACCAAAAACCATCTATCACTACTTATCTACCAATATTCAACTATGACCACCCATCTATCACTACCCACCATGACCATCCACTATCACTCCCATCCATTACCACCACCATTACCATCCAATTATCAAAATCTATTATCATCACATATCTATCAACACGGGAATATGACCAACCAACATCACCCTCCATGTATCACTACCACTGCTCCATCTACCATCAACATGAACCACCATCACCATCACCCACCTACAGTACCGTGGCCAGTGACTGTGCCTGTCCTTAGCTCAGGGGGGCGGGGAGCTGCTCAATACGGGCCATAGCGTGGAGTGGAGAGCCGCCCACAACGCCCAAGCCATCAACGTCACGGGCGGACCACTGAGCTACGCCTACACCATCACACACGCCCGTCTGCATTTTGGTGAGAGGGACCAACAAGGCTCTGAACACCTTCTAGACAACAAAGCCTTCCCTGCAGAGGTAAGACTGGAGGCAGTGGAGATGCCATATCCGAGAGTAATTGGTGGAGTGAAGATTATGTAGAGAATTCGCAGCGTAGAAATAAACGTACTGTGTGGAGTTACGAAAGGTATAATTCACAAGGCTTCGGAGAGGATCTTGAGGCAGTTTTAGACATTACAAAGGATGGAGTAAAATATTATGACCAAGAGGGTGTATAAATCTTGGGTGAAAGAAAGAGGGGCAGGGATCGTCCCAGGACGGAGTGGAAGTAATGGGTTAATAGGGTTTAAAGGGTTTGGACATCCTGGAAGCTTGTGTGAATCTGTTAGATTGAAGTGAGAGGTGACAGGTAGTGTTTCAGAGTTGAGGTGTTGTTGGAATGAGAGAAAGGTAATATTTATGAAAAGATTGAGGAAATATTAGTTTGCTTTAGTCCAGGATGTTGGGGACTGGAGATGTTACAGTAAAGAGGGTCATATGAATTATGGCGTCCGTGCACATCTGCCTAAACAGGTACTGAGACAATGATATATGTGTCTTTCCACTGCCCTAGCTCAGTGTTATATGCCAATGTGTTAAAAACTATAAGAAGAATCTCAGTATTTTTCCTTGATGTACATTTATTCTCTTTTCGGAGGACGAGGGTCCCCAATTAGCAAGAGAGATTATACTTGACAATATTATTATATAAATAAATATACACGTATACATGAAAATATATAAATAAATATGTCGGGCCTAATAAGCCGAATGGAAAAGGTAAAGGAGGCAAAGGACCCAGGAAAATAAGGAGATTAGTAGAAGAGCCAGAAACGAGTACGCACAGATAAGGAGGGAGGCCCAGCGACAGTACGAAAACGACATAGCATCGAAAGTCAAGTCTGACCCGAAACTGATGTATAGCCACATTAGGAGGAAAACAACAATCAAAGACCAGGTGATAAGGCTGAGGAAAAAAGGTGGAGAACTCACAAGAAACGATCAAGAGGTAGGTGAGAAGCTCAACATGAGATTTAAGGAAGTATTTACAGTGGAGACAGGAAGGCCTCTCGGGGGACAGACCAGACGGGGACACCAGCAAGGAATATGCCAACAAGTGTTGGATGACATACATACAGATGAGGAGGAGGTGAAGAAACTGCTAAGGGACATCGATACCTCAAAGGCAATGGGACCGGACAACATCTCTCCGTGGGTCCTCAGAGAGGGAGCAGATATGTTGTGTGTGCCACTTACAACAATCTTCAACACGTCCCTGGAAACTGGGCAACTACCTGAGATCTGGAAGACGGCAAATGTAGTTCCCATTTTTAAAAAAGGAGACAGAAAAGAGGCAATAACTATAGACCTGTGTCACTGACGTGTATAGTATGCAAAGTTATGGAGAAGATTATCATGAGGAGAGTGGTGGATCACCTGGAACGGAACAAGAGTATAAATGCCAACCAGCATGGATTCATGGAAGGAAAATCCTGTGTCACAAACTTTCTGGAGTTTTATGATAAAATAACAGAAGTAAGACACGAGAGAGAGGGGTGGGTTGATTGCATCTTCTTGGACTGCAAGAAAGCCTTTGACACAGTTCCTCACAAGAGATTAGTGCAGAAGCTAGAGGATCAGGCGGATATAACAGGAAGGGCACTGCAATGGTTCAGAGAATACCTGACAAAGAGGCAACAATGAGTCATGGTACGTAATGATGTATCACAGTGGGCACCTGTGACGAGCGGGGTCCCACAGGGGTCAGTCCTAAGACCAGTGCTATTTTTGGTATATGTGAACGACATGATGGAAAGTTCAGACTCAGAAGTGTCCCTGTTCACAGACCATGTGAAGTTAATGAGGAGAATTAAATCAGATGAGGATCGAGCAGAACTTCAAAGAGACCTGGAGAAACTGGACACCTGGTCCAGCAACTGGCTTCTCGAATTTAATCCCGCCAAATGCAAAGTCATGAAGATCGGGGAAGGGCACAGAAGATCACAGACAGAGTATAGGCTATGTGGCCAAAGACTGCAAACCTCACTCAAGGAGAAAGATCTTGGAGTGAGAGTAACACCGGAAGCACACATCAACCAGGTAACTGCTGCAGCATATGGGTGCCTGGCAAACCTCAGAACAGCGTTCCGATACCTTAATAAGGAATCGTTCAAGACACTGTACACCGTGTACGTCAGGCCCATACTGGAGTATGCAGCACCTGTTTGGAACCCGCACTTGATCAAGCACGTCAAGAAACTAGAGAAAGTGCAAAGGTTTGCGACAAGGTTAGTTCCAGAGCTGAAGGAAATGTCCTATGAAGAAAGGTTAAGGGAAATCGGCCTGACGACACTAGAGGACAGGAGGGTTAGGGGAGACATGATAACGACATATAAAATACTGCGCGGAATAGACAAGGTGGACAAAGACAGGATGTTCCAGGGAGGAGACACAGAAACAAGAGGTCACAATTGGAAGTTGAAGACACAGATGAGTCAGAGAGATATTAGGAAGTATTTCTTCAGTCATAGAGTTGTCAGGCAGTGGAATAGCCTGGAAAGTGATGTAGTGGAGGCAGGAACCACACATAGTTTTTAGACGAGGTTTGATAAAGCTCATGTTAATGTAAAAAATTTTAATTTTGCACCAAAAGATTCTTAGAAAACTTACCTAACCTTATTATAACAAGAACAATTTATTTTAGTCTAACCCAACTAAATATATTTTTGATTTGTTTACAGCAATTTAATACTAAACAAACACAGTGAAATATATTTTTTCCGTTAGATTCAGAATGATTTTGGCGAAATTATTGCATACACAAATTTTCACTTGTGTATATGGTAAGATGAGCATTACTATTAAGCTAAGATCGCAAGTTCTGCCTATTCGGCACGACATATATTTATATAATATATATATATAATATAATATATATATAATAATATATTATATATATATATATATATATATATATATAAATATATATATATATATATTTTATTAAATATAATATATATATAATATATATATATTATAAAATATATTAACAAGCCAGCCGTCTCCCACCGAGGCAGGGTGACTCAAAAAGAAAGAAAATCCCCTAAAAGAAAATACTTTCATCATCCATCAACACTTTCACCTCACTCACACATAATCACTGTTTTTGCAGAGCTGCTCAGAACGCAACAGTTTAGAAGCATATACGTATAAAAATATACAACATATCCCTCCAAACTGCCAATATCCCAAACCCCTCCTTTAAAGTGAAGACATTGTACTTCCCATTTCCAGGACTCAAGTCCGGCTATATAAAAATAACCGGTTTTCCCTGAATCCCTTCTCTAAATATTACCCTGCTCACACTCCATCAGCTCGTCAGGTCCCAAATACCATTCGTCTCCATTCACTCCGATCTAAAACGCTCACTCACGCCTGCTGGAAGTCCAAGCTCCTCGCCCACAAAACCTCCCTTACCCCTTTCTTCCAACCTTTTCGAGAACGACCCCTACCCAGCATTCCTTCCCCTACAGATTTAAACGCTCTCCATGTCATTTGCAGGGAACAATGAGCTAGTAACCCCTTTTCCTGTAATTACTGAAAAGAATAAGAAGAAAACTGTCAAAGTGGGAAGCCTGAATGTGCGTGGATGTTGTGCGAATGATAAGAAAGAGATGATTGTGGATGTTATGAATGAGAAGAAGCTGGATGTCCTGGCTTTAAGTGAAACAATGCTAAAGGGGGTGGGAGAGTTTCAGTGGAGAGGAATGAATGGGATTAGGTCAGGGGTTTCAAATATTGTTAGAGCTAAGGAAGGAGTAGCGATAATGTTGAAGGTTAAGCCATGCCGGTATGTATTAATTCAAGTATTATGTGGAGTAAAATAAAGGTTGGATGTGAGAAGTGGGTTATAGTAAGCGTATATGCACCTGGGGAAGAGAGAAGTATAGAAGAGAGAGAGAGAGATTTTGGGAAATGTTGAGTGAATGCGTGGGGAGTTTTGAACCAAGTGTGAGAGTACTTTAATGCTAAAGTGGGTAAAAATGTTGTTGATGGAGTAGTAGGTAAATTTGGGGTGCCAGGGGTAAATGTAAATGGTGAGCCTTTAATTGAGCTATGTGTAGAAAGATGTTTGGTAACAAGTAATACATATTTTATGAAAAAGAGGATAAATAAATATACAAGGTATGATATAGCACGTAATGAAAGTAGTTTGTTAGATTAATTATTGGTGGATAAAAGGTTGATGGGTAGGCTTCAGGATGTACATGTTTATAGAGGGGCAACTGATATATCGGATCATTATGTAGTTGTAGCTACAGTTAGAGAAAGAGGTAGATGGAACAGGAGGATAATGGCAACAACAAGTAAGAGGGAAGGGAAAGTGTATAAACTAAGGAGGAGGAAGATCGGTGAAATATAAGCAAATATTGGCAGAAAGGTGGGCTGGTGCAGGTATGAATAGTGGGGGGGGGGGGGTTGAAGAGGGTTGGAACAGTTTTAAAAATGTAGCATTAAAATGTGGGTAGAAGTTTGTGGTTATAGGAGGGTGGGTGCAGGAGGAAAGAGGAGTGATTGGTGGAATGATGAAGTAAAGGGTGTGATAAAAGAGAAAAAGGTAGCTTATGAGAGGTATCTAGAAAGCAGAAGTGTTATAAGAAGAGTAGAGTATATTGAGAGTAAAAGAAAGGTGAAGAGAGTGGTGAGAGAGTGCAAAAGGAGAACAGATGATAGAGTAGGAGAGGCACTGTCAAGAAAAACTAGGGAACAAATGAATTTGTCAGTTAAAAACAGAGTATGGGAGTTAGTAGATGGGGAGATGGAGGTATTGGGTAGATGGAGAGAATATTTTGAGGAACTTTTAAATGTCGACGAAGAAAGGAGGCGGTAATTTTATGCACTGGCCAGGGAGGTATACCATCTTTTAGGAGTGAAGAAGAGCAGGATGTGAGTGTTGGGGAGGTGCGTGAGGTATTACGTAGAATGAAAGGGGGTAAAGCAGCTGAAACTGACGGGATCATGACAGAAATGTTAAAAGC